CTTATTTACAAACAAACAAACAAGCAATAAAAATTAGTAGGAAATCCAGAAACTGCCATTTTTAGCTGCGTATTAGGAAATTTAGAACTGCACATCAACTTATTAGAATTACACGATACGCGACGACCCGCACATTAATATGGGCCCTGAAGTCTATCAGTGACAAACCGCACATTAATATAGATTCTGAAGTCTATCAGTGACAAACCGCATATTAATATAGGTTCTGAAGTCTATCAGTGACAAACCGCATATTAATATAGGCCCTGAAGTCTATCAGTGACAAACCGTATATTAATATAGGTTCTGAAATTTATCAGTGACAAACCGCATAGCAATATAGGTTCTGAAGTCTATCACTGACAAACCGAATATTAATATAGGTTCTGAAGTCTATTAGTGACAAACCGCATATTATTATAAGTTCTGGAGTCTATCAGTGACGAACCGCATATCATGATCCCTCAATATGTAAAACTATTATAAAACATCGTTTCTACTTGCCCAAGATGGGTTTCCAGTAAAAAGGGGTACAGAATAGCATTACATAATTTTTTGTGCACTAGTACCCTTTTTCTAAACACCGTAGTTCATCCAATATTTTTGGTTTATTTTTTTAATGTTTAACTAATATCACATAAAGTTGGTTTTATAACTTAACAGCAATTGTTTCGAAAGTTTTACTATAAAATTAACCAATAAATGTCATCTTTAACATGCTAATTTTATTCAGCATCGACTACTTTTTTCTTTGGATATAAAAAATAGAAATAAATAAATCTTTATCTTAGTTATTGTCAATAAAGAGATTCTCTGAGAGGGCGCCAAAAAACAAAAAAATAAAGTATCATTTGCTACACTTGAGCTAATCGGCTTATTTGTTTATACAGACGGGAATGCCTTATCGCAAGAATTAACAAATTTACATTTTAATTATTATTAATAAACTTATCCAAGTAAAGAGCGCCACAGAAGCTACAACGAAGGCTAATCGTTTTTTTTTCTTCTTTTTTGTAGATCCAGATCCGTCGTATGATTTAGTTAAGACGAACTTGAGCTTCCTACTTTTAGTTGGTAAATTGTAGTGAAATAGTTTTTTCCTTAATATTTTTTATATAATAAGATATTGCTCTCTGCTAACAGAATATATATTTATCCCATTTCGCTGGAACTTCTTAAATTATTGTCAAAAACACATGCAGGAATGCTAATCCATTACTTTTAGGCTGACAAGCTGATCTCAAACAACTACCACGAAATCGTGATAAAGATAGATATCACCATAGAAACAAACAGAGACAATCGCAGGGGTCGCTGTGTGTGCGTGCTTAAATGTGTAGAAGGATCTCAATGTTCGTTCATAATGCGTTATTCGTCATTTGACAGCATAGTAATCATGTCTTTTGATGATGACGAATTTAAACAAGTGACTGCAATTAAATCTGCCTCAATGTCTGCAAAAATATATATAAATAACCTGAATTAAATATAGTTTGTCATTGGTAACGTAAGATATAATGTAAGTTGTTTTTTATTTGTAACATAAGGTATAGTATAAGTTGTTTTTATTTTTGAACGATGTGAGAATTTATAATCTGGCCAGAATAAAAATAATCAAACTGATTTATGTAAAGAAAATTGCAAATGTGAGCGAAATATAATACCAAATTTGTTGCCCTAACGTTTGACGTATAATATGATAATATATATTTATACTGCATCTGTTTTGCTGTTTCTTCTTTCATAAAAAAAGATAATTCCAGAAACAAACAACGATATAAAGTCTACATACCTTAAATTTCCACTTCCATATATCATGTATCATGTAATCTTTATGGTTGTATATGTTATTACGTCCGGCTTTGTGTCGTTTTTAACTCGTTATCCATGACTGAATACTGAATAAAAATCTAAAGAAGTTATTTAGATAACACTTTTTTTTCTTTTCTTTTTTTACGGATGACAAAATAATGGTTTTATTTCCTTTCGTTCAACTTTGAAGACACACGATACTTTCATAGTAGGATACAATGGCATGCAAGCACCCTCTGGAGATTGAACCGTAAGGGAAGCTTTTCGTTGTCTAAAGATAGGGAGCGGTTGTGATACTTTCGATACGATACTTTCATAGTAGGATACAATGGCATGCAAGCACCCTCTGGAGATTGAACCGTAAGGGAAGCTTTTCGTTGTCTAAAGATAAGGAGCGGTTGTGTGCAATGTTATAGATTATTGAATATCTGTTAAGTATTCCCTCTGGTGGCTCAGCGGTAAGTCAGTGGCTTATAACGCAAAAAATCTGGTTTCGATACAAGCGATGGACGAAGCACAAATAGTTCATTGTGTAGCTTCCTTCTTTAAAACAAACTGTTTAATAACAATTGTAAGTGGATGACAACTGAACATGTTGAGTAACCATCAACAAATGTGCTGTACGCAGCACATGTGCAACAAAACGTGAGACACTAGAGTTATAGTTGCGAGCTTGTTATAAAGTTCGGAGTACAAGGTGACGAAGCAGGACCTGTTGGGCAAATATGTCACTATTATGAAATTTGTATTCTGCATATGGTCGTGGTAAAGGGATGAGCTTATTTTGAGACACGAGGAATTACAATAAGTAAGAGCATCTCGAATCCGCCTTGTTTTTTTTTTTCTTTATAATAAATTATTATTACGGATATCAGGGCTGAATTCAATACAACACACGATCAAGTAAATAGGCCCGATTAATAAGTAGAACGTGAATTTTAATCGAAAATTATTCTATTTATTCTGCTATAACTTGAATATTATACAAGAACCACAAGAAATAATTTCATTCATTTCCTCAATATCTGCTCGTCCTTTCATAATGAGATAATATAAACTGAATTTCAATTTCACCGCCATATTGGGGAATGTACTACAATACTGGAATTATTAAGGTTAACACCATTTCATTTTGCTTTTATTAGTAGTATTCATTAATCTGGTAATCTAAGTTTCTATATGATTTTTGTACAGATATGTAAAAATTACGGTGGCTTGAAAATCAAATTATTTCTTTTTATTGTTACTTTATTACTATTTTGTTTCACTTCTCTGACGACAGGGGGTGAAAGGTAGTTTAGAAGTCGGGCATCCATATCTGTTTTTAAATTTTAATTTCATATATGAAGCTTATATGTAAAGTATAAATATGTTAAATGGTGTATTCCCTACTACTGCATGGGTCCTACTTCTAGAAATACTCTTTCTATGAGGATATGTTTTATGAATCCACTGGTTTTGGTCTACTATTTGAAAAATCTGTATTTGTCTCAGTGTGTCTAATTATTAATCTAACAGCCAGTGTCTTATTTACCTGTATGTCTACTTTTGTAGTTATATCGTAAACGTACCCGTCTTTGGCTATCCTACTAGTTATCTTACCTGGCTGTCTCTTTCTACATTTACATAATTCTATCCATTGTTGTTGATGAAGGTTTAGTATTGTATAAAAGGCTAGTAAATTTATAAAAGTTTATTTTGTTGTTATTTTTGTACTAGTAACCTAGTAACCTAAATATTGTTGACATACATGCCACTTCCAGTTTTGAAATATTTTCAACTGATAATTTGAGCACATCACAAACTAATAGTTTAACTGTTTTTACTATATTTATAGCCCTCATCTCAAGATTTCCACCGACTCAAACTGATCTAAACGACCCGTCTGACACTACCTCTGGATCGAATGACCCAGAAAGTGGCCTGGATCGAGAAGCTAGTGGATTAATTCTACCTAATAGTCCAATTTCTGACTTTCAAAATTCGCCAGGATGCGATGTTCGTAAAACGAATAGACAAAGTTCAACAGCGGGGATGAAGAACATCAAGAGCATCAACGTCATTGAAAGTGACGTTCATATTAGCAGTTGCAGTTCTACTTATCATCTTTCTGGAAATCATCCCAACGACGAAAATACACCAGGATCCAAGCGACGCGGACCGAGAACTACAATTAAAGCAAAGCAGTTAGAAATGCTGAAAACAGCTTTTGCTACCACACCCAAACCCACACGTCACATCCGGGAGCAACTGGCACAAGAAACAGGACTAAATATGCGAGTCATACAGGTGAGATTTAACTTATTGTCTCTAGTGGAAATTACAAAACAATAGAATAAATTTTGTAAATGCTATTCTCTTGAAATAGGCTCACTATCTTTAATTAGCTATCAAATCATGCTATAGCAATTATATATTGATCCTTGTATAATTTGCACCATTTCTGATTGAAAAAGCTCCACTTATCATGATTATGCAGGTTTGATTTTTGTTAGCACAAAGCTACACAATAAGTAACCTGTGTTGGGGGGGGGGGCAATTGTATTGCAGGTGTAACTCACAGATTCTCAACCGAAGACCCACAAAAAGTTTGGAAAGGAACTTGAGGATGGAGTAGTGTTCATATAATACTGTAATATAACGTATGTGTGTTGTTGTAGTGTTCATATATTACTGTAATATAACATGTGTGTGTTGTTATAGTGTTCATATAATACTGTAATATATTTTGGTCTTTCTGAGACCCGTGGATCACAACAGAATCTCGTGGCCGCAATATGACCAGATATTAATGATCGTCTGAAGCATCCCAGTGCAAAAAAAATAATTGCGGACTTAATTTTATACGCGCAGATATATGTGTATACATATGAATGCAACATAGACACAAAAATGTAATGATTCATCTATTGGTTCTGCCTACAGGAGGTAAGTTTTAAGGCGTTTGCAAACCAAATTGTAAAATTATTTCCTAAAGCTATTTTTAATTGCGATAATAGGCCCAAAGATAGAATTTACGTTTATGGAATATGAAGCATGTTCCTACATTAAAGAACACATTTATGTATAACTAGTAAAGGTACAAGCAATGTCGGGCTACAAAATTAACGATATAAGTGGGGGCGTGGGAGTCTACATCCCAATATTTTGACCATGTAGCAACAGGCGGATTAATGGTCAGAAGGGCCCGGGGCTAAATTTCTCAACCGGACCAATATGATTGCGACTAAAGACTAAGGTAAAAAACTAAAATCTCAAGATATGTTTTACTTTTGAAGACAATGGGAAAATAATACCAACAGATTTGCAAGACTCGTCTACAAATTAATGAACAATATTAGATGTTTCTTGAATAGGAAAAATGGTGCTTTAATACAGATAAATTTTGCGTTTCGACAACAAAGTAATAGACAGAAATAAACCACATACACATAAACCCAACAACTCACACATTCACGCGCATGCACATAAACAAACAAACGCACACACACACACAAACAACCTTAATACTCACATGGTATGTCCAGCAGTAGCAGATCATGTCATCTGTAATTGGTTAAATTACTGTCTTCCTGGGTCTATTTGTAGTAAAGGCATTTGTGATCTATTTGGTGTTAAGCAATTCTAACAAGTAATTTTCTATGCACTAAAATGCCAGTGCATTTAACTTGTCTTAATACATTGTTGGTCGAAGCGTGTTCTTTATCCTTTTTAGTATATAGAATGATCTTTTTCCCAAGCAATTACTGACATGAGGCACAAGTACACCCTTAAGATTATCAGGACGTTTGGGAAAGTTGGTTTCAGAGACTGGTTGCATATTACTATTAGTATACTTTGTTACTTGGATTCTGACGGATTTTCAATGAATCCCTCCTTGTAGAGAGCGGCAAATCGAACAATTTATTCCTCTGCGCAACTCTCCAAGTCCGTATGATATGTACTAATAAGCTTTATGGTGTCATTGCGGAGGTTCTCTGTATGCATGGACTCTTAAGTTTTGTAGAAACCCAAATTTGTAACTGTCGTTTTCATGTGCCACTATTCTAGTAAAAGTGACAGTTTGTCAATTATTGTTAAGAAAGTTGAGCTTTATATTGAGTAGAGGGTGAAACATTACTGCCCTCAACATCCCCTTCATCCCATCACGTATTTCTCTTCCTTTTCATTGATTTTTTTACCTTATATGTCTCGCATCCTGACAGTTGTTTACCCTTTCCTCATATTCGGGAAATTAATCTTGTACTTCTTGCACAAATGTCTTGAGAGATTTTAGAAGGTGAGAAGATGTTCTGATAACCATTTGGAAGTTTTGTGATGAACAAGTTGTCTTGTGAAACCTCTCCAGGATAACACTCCATAATTCCATCATTATACCTGTTTCTAGTTGTTCCAATTGTAGTTTTTGGCTTCTTGACTCTAAGCGCACTTGAAGTTTTTCAGAGTCATCGTCTGTAATGGAAGCGAGGACTTGTGTTATGGCTTTGTACCCTATTTTTAAGGCTCGCATTGCGTCCGAATAGGCGCTCCATATTGTGTCTGATAACCTCTTTATCGTTAGGAACCCTAGTTTTTCAAGCACATCATAGAGGCGTTTCCAAGAACGGGTTGAAGCTGAGAAAAACATAAAAATCTTCTGCAGAAAGACAAAAAATAAACAAGCTTCAGTACAGCAATCCACATACAGGGTCCAACCAAATTGAGTGAATAAACCAACAAAGAAAATAGTCTGTTAGGAGGTTCTATTTGATCATGGCATTCTTGCAACATATTTGCTTTTCATATTAGATGTATTGTCGTAAGGCTACCCACGACAATCTTGAATTCTTATATCATTCTTTTCAAGAAAATCAATGAAAACTCTAGCAAGTTATGCTTCTGTGTAATTACTTACCAGTAAGAATGTGGTAAATCTCTCTACAGGGCAATCATCTAGAAGGTATAAAAAATTATTGTCAGTTTATCCGTGAGGCATATGTCTGAAGTAGAATCAACAGACACTGAGTAATACTTGGATGTTTTAATTTCCTGGATAATGGTGGTGAGAACTTCTTTGTGTAGGATTTTTATTAATTTGTCACAAACAGTTGAGGATAAGTATTAAACATGACCTTTCCCTTATTTTTGGGTTTATGAATGTGTTCAAAAAATGTATCACACTCAGCCAATAACTCCAGTATTTCTAAGTAATTGCCATTATGCACTGAACCAACTACTTCATCGTTTCCTCTGAATGATAGAAACTTTATGACTGAGAAAATACATTCTAGAACTTGGTACCAGTATTTTTTCTCTCGCTTCATCTGCTTTGTTAAAGTCTTGTCGATTCGTCCATGAATAACAAGTTTGGTGACACAACCTTAATACAACAAGCTTGTTTCGTGCCGACTAAAGTCCCTTGCACCATGTTTTCAGTCAGAGTAACCAGTTGTTGCTAGTGAAGAAGTTTCCATTGCTGTTGAAAACACTTTGCATATAACGCAGAAGACATTTCTCTTCTACGGTGAATGACAAAGCCAGTCTTTTTGAACATTTTTCTGTTCAACTGCTCACAAGAAGAAAAAAAAAAGAGCCTTTTGAGTATCTGCTTTTATACTTGTCACCCGGAATCAAGTTTGTAGATACATTAAAATCTGCATCCATGTACTGACAGTATGTAATATCTGACGCACAACAAAATCTCTCAAATCGTCAGAAACTTGTATCCGTGTCTCAATGTGGAATATATAGGATGGGTTAGTATCTTCATCACCATTCCAATAATTGATTTCGTCATGTAGGTAGGAACTCGATTCAGTTTGGTGAGGTTAACGGTCACCAGCATCGAGAGTTGTACTCTCTATATGATTGTTTTCACAGTTTTTGTTGATGGTTATGTTTTTGGAACTTTTTTATTGAGGGCAAGAGCTCGATTTCATATGATGAGGTTAATGGTCATTAGCATCCAGAGATTTATTGTCTACATTGTTGTTTCCACTTTCTTGGCTGGCGAGGGTTCTGGCACTAGAGGACGAAATCCATAAATTTGTTAGCTTCCTAATTTTAGCTACAACTTTCTCTTACATTTGTAGTTCCTTTTTCTTTGACCTCAGCTTTTCCCAACCGCTCTTGTGTCTAAACATCTGTATAATAGATAAAGTAAACATTTAATGAATAATATGTTTTGCAAATACAAGCATACTTGTGTGTGTGTATGTGTGTGAGAGAGAAATGTTAAAACGAGCTACCTGATAGTTTCACAACAAATGATCACATATAATTCTCTGTACTTAACTAAAAAAAAATCAATTTTATACTTGGATGACGTGTGTTCTATACCCTCCAGTTAATGATACTTGTCAAATTGTCAACGAACTATTTACAACTGATAATGGGCCAATGTAGGCTCACAAGTAATTATGGATTTTCATAGAACAACAATTTGTAAATTCTGTTTGAGAAATACAAAAAATTGATACAATATATCGTAAAAGCTTAAAATACTGTTGCTTACCTTGTTAGTGATAATTTAACTCTATTCTTGAATAAAATCCAAATATTTTGAGAAGATATTAAATCTAGCCTATAAACATAAGTTTAATCATATTCTAGGCCTACTGCTTAATTATACGAAAAGAAATGGCATATTGGGCGCAAAATCAAGAGGGGAGCCTGGCTGGCATCTTCGTGAAACTGTGGAGTGAAGAGATTTTGATCGGCCAGGGCCTATCATTCAATTAGCGTGACTAGGTCTAGCCTCGCTTAGGCCTAGCATACTTGCATTGCAAATTGTATGGAAATATGCTAGGTCAGAGCGGGGCTATACCTAGTCGTACTATTTGGAGGCAAGCCAATCAAATCTCTGCACTCTATACCGCATAATAGGTCTACCCACGTCACACAAACTCTCTCTCTCTCTCTTCAAAAGTAAGTATACTCAATCGAATGACTTTTATTAAGCATTTTTCCTATAAAATGAAGACGGGTCTTTTTTTTTTGTATAAGAGACATTTTTTGAGCCTGGGCTTGGGGCAACAACCCCAATGGCTTCCATCTAAATCCTCCCCTGAGCACACAATCAGTTCGTGGGATGCAAAGGTACTTGTTATACGCGCGGTATTGAATATTAAATTTTTTTGACGTCAACTTCACGTATTTTCTACCAACCTCCACGTTTAGTTAAACTCTCATTCATGGCATTAAGACGGTAAAATTAAAATGGCTGCCAAACTCGAACCATTCTTCCGACTGCTTATCCGTTTCAACTCTATCTTTCGGGAGTTCACTCGAACTCCTCTTCCAAATTACGA